CTATTTGACGAGACGAGATGCCGATGGTGCGTTTACTATGGTTAAGCCCAGTACTCTGTAGATGGGTTTCAAAAGAGTTCAGAATTCGATAAATCAGCCGAGGAATCACAGTCTTTGGCATACACTAACTTGTCATCAAGGCTTTGCTTTTCGCATTAAATGAAATTTCGATTGAAATGAGTCTTAGCTGCCCAACAACTTGGTGATTTCTAGGACATGAACAATTGTTTTCAGTGCAAAATGCACTATTTCGTCCATGGCTATTGTTTATTTACCTGAACTTCACAGACCAAACCCTTTATGTTTGCACAAAATGTTTCAGTTCCTGAATGCAAGTCTCAATTAAGTAGCACTGTTCACAGAGTAATACTGTCTTCTTCTTGAAACGTTTCTTGGACTTGATACTGAGATACTCATTCGAAGCAGTTTTCTTTGTCAAAACAAAAGGAATTACGGATGGCTAGTCATGAATGAGAACACTGCTGAGTTTTGAAATTTGTTTTTGCTGAAGGTAAATGCAACAAGATATTTTTATTTGTTAGCTGCAAATGGTAACTTGACACTTGTTTTTCACAAACGAGTGGTTGCAATTAAAACTGATGAATTAGTGACTCTTGTTCACATGGTCAGGATAAACAAACAAGAAGTCAATTTCACGGCACGTCCAGAAACTTTACCTTACTATAAATGTTTGGACATCTCTTTTTGTTAGTGTCTGAAGTGGCATTTTAATATCTTGCACTAATGGCAATTCTTTTAGATGGGAATTTTTAAAAGAAATTTGTGGCAGGTGAACTCTTTATAATTATATTCCTGAGGACGTCGTGGCAGCACATTAAACCACAATTAATTAGATTAGACTTTGAGGTGACACAGTGATTCTTTTGCTTTGAAACAGATTCCTTGCATGGTTCAAAGAGGTAAACTTACGTCTCTCATAAAGTAACAAAACGTTTTCTGTAACTGACTTTTTGTCACCAAAAAGGCTCTTGGGCATTTGGAAGGGTAATGTGGCAAGGAAACTTCCCAAACTGCAGATTTCATGGCGTCTTGTGTCTGGATGTTTCAAGTCTCAAGTTAGGTAACATTGGTCACTTTCAATATTGTGTGGTTCCAGAAAATATCCATACCTTCACCATGGAGGGAATTGGAAATTCTGGAGGGGTGGAGGGTCAAAGACTAAGGAAATTCCAGAGGGGATGGGGGTTGGACAGTCAATTTAGTTTCTAGATGTCCTTCAATTCAATATGGATTCAATAAGCTGTTGCTCTCTCTTTCAAAATTTTGAAAGAGAGAGCAACAAATCCATAAGAAAATCACACAGAACTCGAAAGAACCACCACTAGAGTTCAGGTAAGGAATTTTTATCAAAATTCAACAGTAATTTTTCAAAATTTTCGGCTCTATTTCTGTCCCCATACAAACCCTTGTAAATATGCAAACCATGCAAATTACAGTACAGAGGTCAACAAAAAATCGAGCCTCTCATATGTCAAGCTTGGGTTACCTGTGGTGGCAGTCGATGTCTTCTCAATTAAATGGATTTTGAAGTCAATATTAATTTGAAGTGGTTTTGTGGAATATCAAACTGAAAAAACTTTGATCATTGCTGGCAACAGAGTAAGACCATGCTATTGCGTGATGATGTTGTAGTAAAATTGGTTCTTGTTATAAAATGAGTCAGAAAAGTTATCAACTGAGAATCAACACCAATCTGCTGTTTACCGTTAGCTACTATTACAGACTCCATGATGTTTAGCTGTCCGGCTGGGAACAGTTCCATGTACATCTACATCTACATTTACTTAGTTGGTAAAATCATTAAGACATCACACCAACTAAGTAGTTCTATTAAACAAAGCCACTGATGGACTGTTAAAACCAGACCTACAACCTTGGTTACAAGGGTTGGAAAAATTCATGTTATATGCATTTTGCACCTCCCCACCCCTGTGCAGTGTTGACAAAAACACTTTCATCTAACACAAGTTTTCATTTTGCCATTTTCCAACATTGAAAGGGGGGATTGAATTGGAGATGCTGGCACTTATTCTGTAGGTATTACGGTTATGAGTTTATGTTTTTGACATTTTCCAACACAGTTTGTCCATGGTTGTAGATAAATGTAATGTAAGCTTGATATCACAGTTCCTAAAGTCAAACAAATTCTTTTTTTTTTTTCGCTGTACATCACAACATCAAATTTGACAGCAAATAGCAGGCTTCAGTAATGCAGAAAAATGTAAAGATGACAATGAGTGGATTAAAAACAAACCTCTAATGCGTATTTTCTGCAAATAAGCAAACAGTTATAAATTGCAAAAATTAATTGTTAAATGCTTGTTAGTTCTATGGCGAAATCTTGCTCTATATAATTATACCACGCATCAGATCAGGGCATCAGGCCAGACTGAATTGCATTGGTAATGCTACTGGAAGTGTAACGCTTGCATTCTGTTCACTATACAAACTTTAAGTGAAAGGTGAGTCACCTGGAACTTGTTCTCACTGACTGCTTTTCAATTCCTCTGATATCAGTACCATTTCAATCCACGAAATTAAGCAACAAACAACAGATTTAAGCTTAAAATTGGCTTAGAGAGCGGCGTAATTGTTCCTGAAATGGAAGACGTGGAATTCTAAACTGTTTGACAATCTGTTTTAGGAAACCCTTTTGATAAAGGGGTGTAAATACTGAAGTCCCAAAAAACTAAAGGCAACCCTTTCATCACCCATAAATGTAATAGAAAACCATGAATGTAATGCCAGCCATAAGTGTGATAAAACTGATAATTTGACCATAAATGTAATACTGACCATAAATGTAATAACTTTTCCACAAATGTAATAAATCCACTAATGATAAATGTAATAACATTCCAAGGGACCACAAACCCTAACATACATGTAAGTAAAATCAAGGGATCACAATGAGCTGATATAATGCCCACTTTCATCATATTATGGCACTTTCTGAGAGTGTGCAAACAGGTATAAATCACAAAAATTAATTGGCAATAAAGGTTGAATTGCACCAAATCAAATTTTATTTGCAAAGTTACCAGTAAAAATGTATCCTGACTACTTGATCTAGCATTTTGCTTGCATAACACTTGGCAGTGGATTTCTTTGCACTAAATAAGTGACACATGAAAAGCTAAGCAAAGGGTCTTTGATACAATACATGTAGGTCTCCGTTTTCATAGTGGGTCTTTGTTTTCATAGTGGGTCCTCCGTTTTCACGGTGGGTCTTCGTTTTTGTGGTGGGTCCTTCGTTTTCTTGATGGGTTTTTGTTTTCGTGGTGAGTCTCCATTTTTGTAGTGGGTCCTTCATTATCATAGTGGGTCCTTCATTTTTGTAGTGGGTCCTTCGTTTTCATGGTGGGTCTTTGTTTTCCTGGTGAGTCTTTGTTTTTGTTTTGAATTGCCTGTTTAGCGGGTTAAATGAATGGAAACAGAAGTCACAGTTAACTAGAGAATGTTGGTCTATAAACAAACACCTACTGTAGAAAGAATGTTCAGCTATTTAATCAGCTTAGTGAATAACAGTTTATTTATCTTACATGGATGTAAATGATTATGTTGCTTGGGTCCTCTGTGGTATGAGTTCATTGACAGTAAATTAAAAATAACAAAGAGAACTTAGCATTGATGCAGAGCCTGAATAATGAAATTAATTTTTGCAAACCAAAGCGAATTTTCCTTTGGGCGAGTGAGAAGATTTTCATGAATACAAATCGAATGGGAGCTTTAAAATTGCTTACAGGCCAAAATTCAAGCTTGTTCTTTTGGTTACATTTTGAATTCATGCTGAGTTAACGTCAAAACATGACATAACAGTCATACTGAACAAAAATCTTGTGCAACAAATCACATTTATTTTACATGTATATATTTTGAGTAATGTATTATAATATAGTAGTATACATGACCCTACAAGCTTTGTCACTTTGATACTTACTGTATCATGTTGAAATAAAGGTGTTATGTTTATATGTTTATGTTATGATTGACAAGTTAAATTTTAAATCAAGTGTAACACACTTAGGGGGAATGTCATGCATGTTTGAATCCTACCTACCAGCCCCTTAATGGGAACAGAAAGCATTTAAACTTAGTTGAGTGATTCAAATGGGAAAACCTAAGTAATAGATAGTCACTAAATCCATTTGAAATGGTTCTTCACAATCAAGTCAATAAAGAAACAACTGTTCTCTGATGTTACGAGCAAACTTTCTTGGTTTGCTCGAATATTTGTGGGGAGGAATGCAACTCGTGCGAGTGTTGGGTCTTGAGTGTGCAAGCTTGATATGCGAAGCCGCAAGCCACCCGCACTACCCACAGCTTGTGGCTTCACTGCCCACCACTTGCATGTCACACTTGCAGTCACATGATGTAGTATTTTCACAACAAGTGAATAAGGAAAACAGTGATATGTAGTCCATATCATGTGCAACAGTAGTCACAAGCCGTCTGGCATGTTTGTAATTCAGTACACTGACGTTTCAACTACGTTTTGCACTAATATTTTGATGAACCTCCATTAAGTGGCCAACCCCTATTAAGTGCATGGCAACCTCCCAATTCCCTGAGGGTGGTCGCTTAATAGGGGTTTGACTGTTTTTATTTATCATATGACTGAGAAAATTATGAACACACACATGTTTATGTGCTCTAGAGTGCAAATTAAGAGTTAACAATAAATTGGCCTGCTCTCAGCCAATTGATCACAATGAAGTAATTTTCTTACTCATATGCTGTAATAAGTGGGGGAACAAAGAGTGTCTCTGTACAAGGCAAACCCAAAACCCCCTGGAAAATTTTGTAAGTACGTGGTTCATAACCATGATTTCATGGTGTATGATTGTGCGTTTGGTTAATGTTCAATTCTTTGTAGACTTTTCTCACCATGTTTTCTGTTTGCTGTGGTTTCATTTTCCATGACTAACGGACATAAATATCATGATGGTATATTTGTGTTTTGTATATATTATTTTTAGGTTCTGTTGCTTCAAGTGCACCGGTTTTTGCAAAGGTTAACTTTGCAGAATATATGGATGTTGTAACTGCATCGCTTGCGACAACAGGGCAGGAGTGTGGCAAAAATATTGCTAATGCTACAGACACATTACATTCATTGCTTTCTTCTGAGGAAGGTGCAAAGGAGCTTTCAGAACTGTTTGTGTGAGTATTATTTATATATCTTGCATTGTGTGGGAAATGAATATCTGTTGTGTTGTTTATTCGAGCAAAAGCGCTCTTTTGTTGTCAATTGCAACCAACATGTTGACAGAGCCAAAGGAGCATCTAGTGCACTAGAGTTCTGACGAAAATCACATCTTTCCTATGTAAGCCACTTTAAAACATAGACAAGAAATCTGTATGGAAAGAAAAATGCTGTTTACTTTTTTGGAATATCTCTTTGTTCCAGGGATATTCAAGTTTTTAAAATATGCAAATTAGCTAAGTGATGACATCAAACTCAATTGGATTTTGATCAAATATGATGAACAAATATATCACAGCCAATCTGAATCAGAAATGTTTGAATCTTGGCAGCAGGATTCTACTAGAGGTGCCCCACAATATGAACAAACATTTTTGTTGCCATGGCAACATACTGATTCCAGACCTCCCTGATATTAAAAGCTTTTCTGGCTACTTGTAGGGCTCCATATTGATATTTGCCAATGGTACATATACCTGATCTGCATGATCTAGCAAGCATACAAATATATTAGGTCCAGTTCATTGTCTTGTGTAATGTTTTTGGAGCTGAAAATCAGTGAAATATTAAAATCAGGTTGAAGGGGACTGGAAAAGACTGGGTTGCCATGGGAACTAAAATTTTGTAGCTGCAGGTGTGTTGCATGAAGAACTAATGGCCTACCAAGTTTCGATGGTTTCTGCTGCAAATTGACAGAGGTAGCTCTATTTATATATGTAATGTAATATTTGATTGAGTGTATGACGTCATCAATCCTCTCATTTGCATATTTTACACAGTTTTAAACTTCAATATCTCTGGAACCAATGCAGATATTTGCAAACGGTAAACAGCTTTTTTAATCTTTCGTGGAATTCTATGGGATTAAACTGAAAACTCAAGGGGTAAAACTTTGATCATAGTGCCACTTTAAACCAAACAAATATTTATAACATTGTGTTTAGATACCCCGCAGCAGGGAAGTGTTTTAAAAAAAGTAAATACCCGGCATTCTGACACTGTTATAGAAATTCCATGGAATGACTCATTAATTCATCTTAGAACAGTAGGTCTTTGTTTAGCAATGTCACTGATTTCAAGTATTATTTTAGCTTTGCTGTTGAGGAAATTTTCCAGTTGGGCATGCTATAAGATCTCAATGTTTTGACACTTAGAAAATTTTTGTGCTCTGACTCTGGAGTCAACTCTTATTGAATAATTCTTCCAAAATTACAATTGAGACCCTCTGGGAGTGCTCTATATTTGCTCAGAAATGCCAAGCAATTCTAAATAATGTTTTGGTTTTGTAGTGGACGAATTCTCTTAGCTTTGGCACACTATACAAATCTTGACTTATGGTCTCATTCAAAAAAATAGACACCCGGAAGTCAAGAATTCATAAAAACTCAATTTCCAAGAAAATTATTGTTATTATTTGAAACCTCCCAAGAGTATTTTAGTATTTTGATCTGCGGTCAGAAACACCAAAATTTCCATTTGAACCTGTAGTGCTTGAATTAGCGGTTGTCCAGTTGTCTGAGCCGACTAAAAACTGGTCTGAACAATCAAACCAGTTACTTCCAACAGGTTTTTGAGTTGAAAAAGGAGAGGAGTGTATTAATTATTGAAAAAGGTATTTCCTCAGGAAAAATCTTGAGGTTATTATTTTGGTGTCACGAGTTGTCACACAGCCTTGATGCACACAAATGTTGGATAATGGTGCATTTCGTGTGTGTTTTTTGGATACATGTTCCAAAACAGTTCGAACAGTCGGTTTCCTTTCAAATGTGTTGCAAGAGGCAATTTAAAAACAGATAGTTTAACTCAAGAACTATCAACTAACAACAGTCATAATTATTGTCCAACATTATGTTAATTCATATAACAAAGCAGACTTTCATCGTAATTCATTTGTATGATTAGTCTATTCTTTGTCAATGTCTTGAGTGTCACTGTCACACTGGGGGCATTTATTGGAATAGTTGAGCACTTATTTAAAAAATGGCAGTCAGTGGGGAGTAATTATGAAAAAGTTGGTGCTTATTGGATGGTAGACTAAATTGAATCTACTTTGCTTGCAGTCTCTGTAAACCACTTGATAAAGACAGCTTTAATGACGTGGCCACATTTGCAAGTGATTTATCTGGCAATTTTGCTGGTGTTGTTCAATACAACAAGGACAACAGAGCATTCGAGGTAAAGTGAATGACACTTGGCTTACAATCTTTGCAACATCTCTGTGAGCAATTAACCCTGAAAATGGTGAATATAGTCTCTCTCCAGTGACATTTGTCACCGATACTGGTACCATGTTGCCTTACATAAACGTAGATTAAAATAATTAACTCTAATAGACTGGTTTACAGTGTTTCATTTAAAATTTAATAGTAGTGTGTTTATCTCAAAGGGTGCAGTGGGTACAAACATAACCATTGACACTCTATGTGATATTATGAACGACAATGACATTGGAGATCCATTAGCACGTTATGCGAAAGTCAACTCATTAATTCTTCAAACATATGGAGCCAACTGCCTTGATTCAAGCTACAACAACTTGATAGCAAGTTTACGGAACACGTCATGGAGCAGCAGTGCATCTGAGGGAGGTAAACATCACTTACAGTGTCTGTTTTTCTCTTTTCCTCTCCTTTCCAAGTGTGGTAAAATGTACAAATTTGTAATGTTTGAATTGTACAAGTAAATAGTATTATTGTTGTTGCCTTTTCATTAAGTATCTAACTGGATTAAAGTCAGTTATAACTTTCACATTTTTCTTTTGTTTCATATAAATGTCAAAAAGAAAATTATAACATAGCCAGTAAATATGTACAATCTAGGAAATTCCATATATTTGTAGATTCTTTGTTGACTGTACAAACATGGATGTAAATCACTTACAGTGGAATGATGCTATTGGCATATTATTGCATCGTTAACTTTCCTCATGAAAAACATAAACACACAACCTTTGTGTTCTTTGTGGAAAATATTCAGACTTACTTGAACAACAACAGATCATCCAAACATCATAATTATTTCTGGTTCTAATTGAAGAGGTCGGTGCAAAACCATGCTAAGTGACGGTTTGGGTGATAAAAAATTTTTTCCTCCACAGTGTCTTAATTTTTGCATGTGGTCTACCAGAAAAACATGTATTTTTGTTGCTGGTTTTTGCTTCATTTTTGAGATAATAAAGTATTAAAAAAATCTTGGCTTTTCGTAGCTGTGTCTTTAGGAGTTTATTTGTTGAACAGGAAACAAACAGACTATCTCAAATGAAGGGCCTCATTCTTGGTAAATTGACAGCAAATTATATTTTAAACACTGACCGAGGACTTTTTTCACTCGTTTGCACATTGTTGAAAGAAAATCTACCTGGGTTAAGATAGCTTTTTATGAAGCAACGAAGGTGGTGTCTTATGTCAATAGGATGCGTAAATGTAGCTTCTGTTTAGTGTTCAAAGTCAAAATCAAATCCCTCAGTATCTTAGCTCTCTTCCTTGTAAGTCAAGAAAATAGCATACAAAGCAGGAATCTGAGAAACGTTTACATTGGTCATTGTGACATGGAACACACATGTGAAATTGATTGGGCGTCAAAGGGAATCGGCAGGTATATTTTGCAGGTTGCAGTTTGCAGGTTGAAATTTAATTCTAACTGGAAAACCGCCGGCACTATAAATAATTAGTAACCTATATACTCATCAGGGGTTCTTACATAAGTAGTTTGCCTCTTTCATGTAGTGAAAACACAATCGATCCGCTATAAGTACCGGTACTTACCGATCAACATGCTGAGACCAGTGAAATCTCTTCAAAGCCATCTGGATGGCTGCTCCACAGATGTTTCCATCAATTCCAGATTTGGCTCGGGTCTTCCCTCAACAATAGAAGATTGCAACGTGGCCAAGTGGTTAGAGTGCCGGACTTGAAATCTGGAGGTCACAGGTTAAAGTCCCACTCTGACCACTTAGCTGGAGTTGTTTCTCGGTAGACCCTAGTTCAACTCGTTGGTCATGCTTGTAAATAGCCAACTGATCTGCCACCTGCCAGTTGGGATTTTTAACCATGTTATGTTCATTTGCATTATTTGTGTCACTATTTGGTTTCATTGGCCTTGAAAAGCCCCATTGGGGGAGTGGTCAATTAAGATATTTACAATCTTTTATTGCCATCACAAATGAAGCAAATAAATAAAGAAATGAAATAATATAAGATTTTAACTGACGGAATATACTAGCACAAGCTCAGTGTGCTTTCATTTTGTTACTCACAGGGAAGAAACCAAATTCAGCAGATATTTCAGATGATATTTCAGATGTTTCTTCAAAAACAGTAATTCATTGCAGGCTTAAAATCATAGGAATAATTATACTCTCCTCCCATTGCTTCGGCCGGTTTGGCACTTAGGTGGAAGCCACCTTACAGAGCGATTGTAAACCGGTCAGTGTAAAACGCAGGCTGCAGACTGCAGACTGCAGACCGGGGGTAAAATGCAGACTGAGGGTAAAATGCAGACTGTAGACTGCAGAACAGGGGTAAAATGCAGACTGAGGGTAGAGGCAGTCTGCAATGCAGACTGAGCCAGTCTGCGTTTTACACTGACCGGATTGTAAACAGTGTTATGTAACAGTCACGGTAAGTCTACCACCTGTATGTTTCTTTTAAGTGCCAGCGGTTTTTCAGTTATAATCAAATTTCAACCTGCAACCTGCAACCTGCAAAATATACCTGCCGAAAGGGAATACTGTCGAGCAGAAAAGAGATGTGATGCCTTAGAGCTCTGTCAACTTACAATATTATTGAAGTGTTCTTTTAAAGCACCTTGCATGCCTGCCTCGCTTGTTGATAGGCATCACAAAACCTTGATAAACCCGTTAGTCATCACCTCGCCACCAACGAACTCACCACCAAGAAACCACGTTGCCACCAGTGAACTTTCCACCAAGTGAAGTCACCTCACCATCAAACAACAACAAAAAGATAAACTAGAGTAAAGTAGTTGAGCTGAATTAGCTGTTCGAAGAAAGTTTGTTTGCTTGTCTGTACGCAAATTACAATGTCAACATGTTGTAGGTGATGTGATATGAGAAGGGTTCCATTGTCAATGGAACATTAATTGAAGGCTAAAATGCATCGCTATTGCAATTCACGAGGGGAGTCCATGTAGGCCTGTCATAATCTTTTGTTTTCAACAATTTGTTAGCATGCTTCAATGTAATCAAGAAATGCACAAACAAATTTGACTGCCTTGTTAGTGAAATGCTGCATATTCAAGATCTTAAACCAGCACTGAATGTACACACTGATTCTCTTGGTGCTAAAGTATTCATGTAATTAACTTGGCACTCTTTTATGCAAATTTGCCTCAACTTAGCCTCTTCACAAACCACTTTTTATTATTAATTATGTAACCTTAATAATGAGGCAAGACACACCGAAACGTTGGTTTCTATCACCTATATTCCTTGTCTTAAAAATAGATCTGTTGGCAATATTGGATTTTGATGCAGCTATATAATTATGTACGCAATATATCAGGACTTTCCAAGAGACAATTGTGCAAGGAATATGTTGGAAGAAAAGTCAACAACGCGTCAGAGTTTAATTTGTGCCGAAATTTTGCTTTTGCGTGTACTCCCTCCCTCTTCGCCAGAGTAATAACTGCCTTGAGCCTGCAATCCAATTGAAACCTAGTACCTGGTCAGCAGTCAACTTTAAAAAAACAAGATAGCTTGGTGGGCTCTTGACCTGAGCTTGTGATGTAGTCATGCGATACTGGTCAGAGGATACCTTGCCTTGACAGCTGTCAGTTAATTGTAACATGTATGTCCAATATCAAAGATGTACCTATGATAATGGTGCTACTCTCTTATTTTTGTTTTGGCATACGGACATATGGACGTGCATACATACATGTATGGACAGTCACCTGACAACCAAAAATTTTGAGATCGATGGGTTATCAAATGATATACAAGGTACTGCGTTTTCCTCACGCAGGAGCTCCGCTATGATTGATGACTCTCAATAGTGGGAAACCATAGCTTTCTAGAATCCAACTATACTTTTTTGAGAACTGGCTGTGCTGTTATTGCTTCACTGTTTCGTTTGCATTTATGTAAGTGTTTCATAAGGCTTCAGCTAAATGATCAAATAACTTCATCCAACATCGTGTTTGACAAACAATGTTTTGGAACCCAATGTTTCATGAGTGGTTTTGAATATTTAGACAGGACTTAATAGAAGGAAAAAAAAGAATACAAAAGGAAACCACACTAAATTGTTATTGATCATGACTTTTTCAGATTTGGTGGCACCTCCATAGGGGGCTGGTGGCTCTTTAAGTTATCATGGTAGGTGGATTTGTACGAAAAATGCAAAAGATCTTTTTTTTTGTCGAGGAAAAGGTTGTTGTTATTCATCGTGGTAGATGCAATAATATAGTGTATTATCGTTTGTCTCATGATGTAGTCACTTGAGATGTAGATCGTGACGTTTCGACTGCTTACTGCTAGTCTTCTTCAGGCGATAAGGTCGACTGATTGCACGGTATCATTTATATCACAAAGGTCGGCTGTGATTGGTGCATTTCGATCCTCC